GAGCTCCGTTTCGGGGGTGGTGCCAAGGTCCAGGCCCACCTCCTCCACCTTCTGAGGCCTCCTGGCGGACTTCGCAGACTTCGGAGCGCGTGCTCGATGCGATACCTCGACCTCCTGATCTGCATTGAACACCCACCTCTCATTAGAATGCAACCAGGTTCGCACAACGGCGCAACTCGCGCAGGCAGGAGGGCCAGAGCCGAACCGCGCGGCCCCCATGAAGGGCGGACAAAAAAGACCCAGAGCGTCGAGGCTGGACAGGAGCTCGCGGCGGATCAGCGCCCGCGACGCGAAGTGCGAGATGACCCGGGTGATCGTCTTGCCAGAAGCGAAGCCCTTCGGACGCAGCTCCAAAAATGCGAGCCGCAACTTCCGCCTCAACGCTGGGTTCAGGCCAATGATGGGGAACTGCTCGTCGAACTACCAGCCCAGCGCCGCGGCCCCACAGCTGCATTCAACTCCGTGGGTCGGAAGACCCGCCGCGCGGAGCTGGGCGCCCACGGCCGGAGCGGCCGCGCGAGCCACCTCGGGGCTGGTCGACAGGCTGAGCGCGTTGTCCGCATTCTCGGCGTGGACCACATCGTCGGTCACCGGGGGCACAGGGCGCCGATCTACGAGACGGTTGGCAATGACGAGGCCGGGCACTTGCAAGGCCGTCGCCTCCGGCAATGTCTGGTAGATCCAAGGGCTGAACGAGCGGCCCATGGGCGGGCACCTGAAGCACGGGCATGGAGCACGTCCGTCCCGCCGAGCCGTCGGCCGCCCGCGGTGCAGTCGAGCCCCAGCTAGCCCGCCCGGGCCCAGGCAGCGCGAAGTCCCGCCGGAACGCAGGCGGCAACGACATCGCGTAGAAGGCGTCGGCCAGGCGGCCAGGCCCACCTCGGCAACCGCGATGGGCTCTCCGCCGTCGACATGGGGCCCTGCGAAGCTCGCCCCCGACGCGAGGGCCACCTTGTCGGGGACCTCGAAATGCAAGGAGGCGCACCAGCCGTCCAGGATGAGCCGCAGCTCCCCAGGCTTCTGAAAAACGAAGAACACACCCACGCCGCAGGCTTTGACAGCGTAGGAGTCGAGTGGTTCCGACGCTCGAGGATCCGCAGGGGCTGGACATGCAGCTTGGGCTTCCCGAGCGCCGGGTCAGCGCGCTGCTTCCGAGGGCCCCTCAGACTCGATGCGAGCCCGACCCTCAGACTGGGACAACATCATTCAATGGGGCCGCCCGACTATCTGGAGGCCAGCACCTCCACCCATCGAATCAAGCGGCACGGGCTTGAAACCTTCAGCAGGGAGCACGAGGTGGTCGATGCTATCCAAGTCGAGAGGAGCGACCGTGGCACTCTCGCCGGCGTAGTCGCTGAGAACTCGGAGCTCCTCCAAGGCTCCTGGGCCAGTCAATCCCTCCGAGGGCTTGCCAAACCGACGAACAGCTTGACGGATGTTGACGAGCGCCTGCTGCTGGCCCGCAGAGATGGACTGAGGGGGCCAGCCGTCGGGGTGGCGCGGCTGGTCGACGGGCCGCTCGTTGACGGCGCACGCGACCTCCTTCATGCGCGTCGCTTGCCCGCGCCGACGGACGCGACGAACCGCCGAGCGTGTGCACTTGACGCCATGTGCCAGTGAATACACAGGATGCTCTCGCATAGGACATGGAAAGGAAAGGAGAAAAGGCAACGCTGCCTGCCAACTGCATTGCCCTCGAAGTGCTTCCCACCAGCGAAAGGCGGGCCACCGCCGCTGGGCCCCCCTGCGAACGTGCGCGAACCGCGCGGAGCGCCGGGGGGGTGCGGCCCTCGCGGCACGTCCACCGCCATGATCGCACGGCCCGCTGCTCTTCGCGGGCATTGCGCACTTGCTTCAGCACCGAAGCGCCCCTCTCCACCTCTGTCGCCACATGCTCGAGGAGCAGCGGGCACATCATGGTCTCTCCGCGGTCTCGGCTCAGACCTGTGAAGACAGCACTCTCGTCGATGAGCACGAAGTTCAACAGGCTGCGGCGGCATCCGGCGGGGCCTCGACCGCGGCCTCCTCGCTTATTCTTGTCGTCGCCCTCGCCGCCGCCGTCGCCAGCGCTGCCGGAGCTGTGGCGAAAATCACGGCCCATCACGTAGACGTACCCATAAATCCGGCACTTGCGAAGACTCTGCTCGGCACCAACAATATTGGGCAAGTCGAGAGCATCCCGGCAGGCCATAATGCAGATGGCCCGCATGCCAGCCTCGTAGTCGTTCACACCGCAGTCGTCTGCCGACAGGCCCAGGGTCGACTTCCAGAACCGACATTGATCTAGCGGGCCGCCCTGGCGCCTGTCGATGTACTTGCAGCACCACAGACATGTTCTCAGCCCTGGGATGTGCCATTCGACGAACGCCTCCTCGGTAAAGGTCGCCACCGGATCGCGCCACTTCCGCAGCGAACGACCTCCAGGCACAGCGGGGTTCACCAGGATGCCCATCAGCCAAGCGCCCGAGGCGGCCTCACGACCTGCATACTCCTGAGCCGATCCCGAGATCGACCGGGTCGCCACCCACGGGCCGTCGGCCAGCGGCATGAGGCCCGCCGGCCCTTTCAGTTCCGAACCCGCCGGAGGGATCACCACCGTCCCGCGGCGCCCAGCTGTCGTGGACTCGATGAACACCCACACGGCGACGAGTCCCGCGGCGGCGGCACCTGCCAGGCCAACGGCCAGCGGCCCCAGCGCCCGCTCCCGCGGCGCCCGCGGCCACGGCCAGCGGCACGGCGGCAGGCCCAGCGGCAACCACCGCCCTGGCGCCTGGAGCCGCAACGGGGCCTGGGTCGAACGTCAGCGGGAGCACAAACGGCCCAGCAGGAGCAGGCAAGCAGAGTCGCTGATGGTTTGCAGCCAAAGCGGTCGTGCAGTAGACCAGCGCCGTCTGATCGATCGCCGGCATCGCCGCGGCCGTCAGGTCTCGCCGGAAATGAAATGAATCGGCCACCTGGATACCAGCTGGGTACGTAACGCGTCCACTCGCAGACCGCACGGCGATGATGCCACTGCCAGCGCAAACGCAATCCTCCTCGTAGATGTCGGTGTCCACCGTACAGATCAGGAACTCAAGAGCGAAGCCGGGCTCAATCGGAACCCTCGCCTGTCGCCCCAAGATCAACCACTGGTGCCATAATCGTTCTTCGTCGTCACGAACCCAAGCCCACTGTCGCACCTCCGGCGGAGCCGCCTCCGCTGGTGCCAGTCTCGCTGCGGCCATCATGGCGACGGCGACAAACTAAGCAGACACTGCCCCACGAGCCGTAGACGTACCACACCACCAGGCCGCCAAAGAGGATCTCGTTCACCAACACCACCAGCCAGAACGAGGTTTCACGCGCCTCGCCTCCTGCCTCTGAGACCACAAGACCAAGGCCAAGAGCGGGGGATCCTCCCAGGCACGCCGGGCAGCCAGGACACGGAGGGCACGCCGCGCAGCTCGGGGTCGGCGGGCACGGAGGAGTGGTTATGGATGGGCACCTCTGGAGATTGCCGCCCCAGAGGTAGGCGAGAGTTCCCTGCCAAGCGTACTGGGAAGCAGGTAGGAGGTATTCCATTCGCACCGCCTTGTTGCGAATTCTTGAGTCCCAAAACCAACGGGAAACGATTACATCGATGGCCTAGACACCGAGACCAGTGAGGAACGGCATGTACACATTTGATATACATACATACATACATACATACATACATACATACATACATACATACATCCATACATTCATACATACATACATACATTCATACATTCATGCATGTATGCATGCATGCATGCATGCATACGGGCATACCTACATGCATACATACTTACATATATATATATATATATATATATATGTATAGACATACATCCATACATACGACCATACATGCATACGTACATACATGCATGCATACGTTCATGCATACAGGCATACATGCATACAGGCAGACAGGCAGACAGGCATACACACATAGACACACATACATACATGCATGCACACGTGCATTCATTCACGCATGCATACATGCATACATACACACAGACATATGTACATACAAGCATGCATATATACATACATCCATACGCATACTATATATGCATAGGTGTGTATGTGGCTCGGGCCACTCGTGATGCGTGCGCCGAAATGCAGATGTAGACACACATGCGCCTACCGCATCGGGGTTTCCGTGCATCTATTCGTTCCTCCGAGTCGATTGGAGTGTGACTGCCTTGAAGAGCGATGAAAGAACAACTGCATTCATGGGGGGCGGCATTTCATGCCCCCACCCGTCCCCGCGCCGTCCACCTAGTGCTGAGGTGGCGGACATGCCCGGCAACGCAACCCGATATATCAACAGCGACAACAGCAGACGAAGAAACGGTACCGATGAGAGATAGTAACGCTGGAGACTGGCAGGGGGGAGAGACAGAGAGAAAGGCAGAGATTGATTCGGTCGTAGTCTAAGCCTCAGCTCCCATCAATAATGGCACTTGCTGGCCGTGAGCGCGGCGAGAGGGGCCAAGAAGGCAAAACAGGCCATCACACGTCCCGACAAACGATGGCGCCGAACACTCTCTCAAACAAATATCCCCGTGATGCTCCCCTGGGCGCAAATCCTGAGCCGTCTTCTCGAGCCGCGTCCAGCGGCGCCGCGGGAGGGGCCACCGAAGACCGCGCCACGAAGAAGGAGGATGAAGCATGAGGAGGAACGGGGGCAGGACGGCGAAAACGACCATGACGACCACGACGACGGCCACAACAACGATGAGGACACCCTCCCTGCCCGCGTCTCTCGCGGGGCGGACAAAAGGGAGGATACCGAAAGGCGGGTTAGCGAATCAACAGCATGCGGCGGCGGGTTTTCTCGGCGCCCCCCGGCGCCAGAGGCGGCCATGTCGCCGAGGTCAGCGCTCGGCGGCGAGGCTGAAATCAGCTGCTGGGCGTGCAGCAGACATCCTCCCCCCTTCCCCCTCTTCGTCCGACCGTCCGACCTGGCCCCCGGCCCGCGTCTCCTCCAGGCCCGACAGGAACCCGTGCTCGAGGAAGACCGAGTCCTCTCTCCGAGAGGCATGCAGCGCGCGCGCGCCTCCCGCGCGCGCCGCCCGCTCCTACTCCAGGTCCTGGGAGGGGGGCCCAGAGGCGGAGGGAGCAGGGAGGAAGGGGGGGGGGGAGGTGGACGGAGGAGGAGGGAGGCGGAGGACGGAGCAGGAGGGAGGGAGGCAGGGAGAGAGGAGGTGCCCCCCCCCTGCTCCCCGCAGCCTGCCGCGCCCGCGGGAGCCTCGCACGCTGCCTTCCCCCCCCTTGCCCCTGGGGGGAGGGGGACCTCATCCTCGGACAGCAGGCTGTTCCACTCGGGCGCGGAGATCTCGCTCTGGGGGCCGTGCAGCATCTGGGCATGGGGGGGCAGTGGGGACGCATGGAACGCGCAAGAGGTGAGAGGTCGCGCTACTCTCACAGAGGTGTTCCCGACTGGTGGTGGCATCAGGCCCACTGGAGTCTACCACCCTGGGCGGGCATGTTTCGTCACACTGGGAATGGCCACCTGAAGACTCCCAGGGAGGAGGAGGAGGAGGAGAAAGGGGATAGGGAGCGCTACACGCTATTTTTTTTCACATTGCTCGGCCTAGGGAGGCCCGACCGAAGGTCTCACGGGCGCTTGACTTGGGTGCGAAAGGTTCATCGGCATGCCGAACACCCCCCCTCCCGCCAGCAACCAAAGCACTCGGCGCACTGGAACCACCCCATGCACTCAGGACCCCTCCTCTCAACAGCCCTCCCCCCACGCGCAAGGGAGCGGGGTTCAACCCCCTCGTTGCACCCCTTGCGCCAGTCATTGTCGTCGTAGGCGTCAAATCAGCCGTGTGGAGGCTGCGAGCAGCAATGCGAGGAAGGGGAAGAGACGGGGGTGGTTCTCGGTTGGATGTGGAAGAAGGTGGCGAGAGCAGAAGGAACTTCTTCATAACAATGTTGTCGAACAACATGACTGCTGGTCTTGCTTCCTGCTGGGCGGCCTCAGAGGCCTTTTGCCGCTAACCTGAGCGCTGCAGACGGCCCGAGGGAGAATCCACACACAGCGCGTCGCGGCAAAGTGACCCCCATGCCTTATGCAGGTGCTCAGAGCACGATGCACCGTAGGCTTAATGAGGCAAGTGCCGTCGGCAAATGTGTCGACGACCCCTAAGGCAGGCTGAAAGATACCAATCGAACACAGCGCCTCGAATTGTTCAATTGAGTTGAGTGGTCGTCATCGTTAGCTGGCGCTGGGGGGGGGGGTCGTCGACGTCGTCGTGTTCGTTTGCCGGCGCCAGGGAGGGGCCGTCGTCGTCGTTGTTTTCCTGCGCCAGGGGGGGGGGGCTGTAACAAAAACAATGCAAACTCATTGACCGCGCACACACCGTAAACCAGGCTGACCACGCCGCCCCCTCTTGGCAATGGCCTTCAACACGTATGGCCAGGGGGGCGAGTGGCGCACCTGGCACACTCTGTGCGCGTCGTGCGCGCATCTGGCACACCAGGCGCGCCTCGCACACCATCTGGCGCACCTGGTGCGCGGCACACCTGGCATGAGTGGGCCACCTCGCGAGCGTCGAAAACCTGGCGTCAATACTGGTTCCAGATCGATGTCCAT